GTAAAGAAGTAAAAGTATAAATTTTAGGTTTTAAATGTAACAAAGTAAAAGTAAAAGTAACGATTTAAAAAATACTTTGTAAAATTACAAATCTTCAAAAAAATTACTTAAGCACCATAACGAAATGAATGTACTAAGTTACTATAAACCTCTGTCAGATATACACACACTTCAGTATTTTCAGACTCTGCTTTGTGTTCTGATATCAGAGCTGTTTTTGTTTGTTTTGTCTCACTCGTTGTTTGTGTGTCTGCTTTGTTATTTTTAGGACAAATATTTGACCCTGAAGAAACAGTATAATAACCTGGTGGTAAGTTGGTTTCTTCATTTCAGTTTTAATTTAAAGGCCCTCATTGAAAACTATGAAATCAAACATAAAAAAGGGTCATCCTGAGCTGTATCAAAAGGTGCAGTCTAAAACCGTTTACCACATATATTGATCTRCAATTTTGAAATGCAGGTATGCATTCAATGTAAACAAAGCCCTTTTATTTGCACACTTTCCTTAAAGTGTTTGTGTAAAAAAAAAAAGGAAAAGACATGCCCAAATGTAACGGAGTGTATCTCAGCATTTACAAACTAATAATCTTAGTTTCAAATTAAAGTTTGGGAGGTTTCATCAGAAGTGTAATTATCACAGCAGCTGCTATTGTTTCAGAGATAGAACAGAGTAAAAAAAGGAGAATTTATTTCCACTAGCCTGAAGTTTTTCTGCATTAGACCCCCTGGCTATAGCCCTTTAAAAGTATTGCAAAAAAGGTGAAAAACTATTGGCAACCATAAATCCATAAGTGAATATTACCTGTGCAAAGATTCATGCAGTTGAAGTAAACTACTGTAGAGCCTAATCAGAGGTTTTAATAAAGTAAAAGCAATGCCTATTGTCATTCTGCAAAGGATGGGCCATTTGCCACCATCAATGAATGTTAAGAAATCTTACATTTTTAACTGCAAAATTTAAATCCTTTGTCTTACATGACTGAAAAGACTTGTTAGTGAATGTTGCTTTGACCCACATATTTATGTTTAACCAAAAATCAAGTTTTAATTCCATGTTGGAGAATTAAAAACTTATATATATATTTCCAGAAATCAAACTATTGATCCTTTTTTATTTATTCTAGGACAACTCCAAGTGGCGTCGCCACTACCTGAGCAGCTTGTATGAATACATGCAGGGCTGCAAAAAGGAGCTGGCCTTCCTGGAGGAGGAACAGAACAAGATCAAGAAGCAGGACTGGAGCGACCACATGGTGGACCCGCCGGATGTTCGCAGGCAGTACGAGGTCAGAACAGAGGTCCTATTAGACAGAACAGTGCTTTAAATTATTAATGCAGAATATAGAAAAACTCTGGCTCACTGTTTGGCAAAGAAACAAGGTTTTAGTATCTAATGCTTTATAAATAAATGCATGAAATACTTATGGTCTAATTAAAAACTATTAAATAGTCATTTACCCTAATTGATCCCAACAAAAGCTGATGAGTTTTTTTCCATTTCATCCTGACCGTTTTGTAAAAGTAGTATCCTTCATTTATTTAACCAGGAAAACGACTCGAGATTGAAAACCTCTTTTCCAAGAGTGACCTGGTGAAAGAGCAGGTGAAAAGACATGCTGAGACTAAAACAAACTTTCAGACAAAAGCTGCTGAAAATAGATAGATTAGTACACAATAAAACAAAAGGAGTGTGCGTTTTAAACAGGAAGGGATGCTCAAAGTAAGCTTTTCAGCAGTGGAAAATCCCTTTCTGTGACCAAAATGTGTGTCTGTCCAGGACCAATAAAGATATTTGTTTTATTCTGTGACGATCAAACATGTGAAGCCACTGATTTATTCCCGAACAGAACTTCAAGAACAACAGTCTTTTGTCCCACGAGAGTGACATTAACAGACTCCAGGATGAAGGGGACCGGCTCGTGGAACTGAAGCACCCCGCCAGCGACACCATACAGGTAACTCAGCGTTCAAACGCTTCACYGGGCCTCAAACTGCGGATTAATCCAGATTAACGTTTCACCTCCAGGCTCAAAGAGACATGGTCAGAAACGAGTGGCAGAAGTTCCTCAATCTGTGCATCTGTCAGGAGACACATCTGGACAACATAGAGGAATACAAAAAGGTGGGCTGAGGACTGCTGATAACCTGATGACATCAGACTTCCTCCTGAAAAAAAAAAGGTTTTAAATGCTTTGTGTTACTTATTTCAGTATCAGCTGGACACGGAGCAGCTGTCACAGACACTGAGCCAACTGAACAGCACCCTGGAAGATCGCAAGAAAGGCAGCTCAGAGACTCTGCTGCTGCTCGAGGTAAGAGGATGTGAACGAGAAGGAAAGGAGGGATGAGGATGATGTTTCCTCTTACATATTAAAGTTAGAGCAGCTCTGCTCTTTGAGACCTTCATGTTATCGTGCACAGAATCAGCAGTCCGAGTCAAACAGGATTATCGTGACAGGCAAATAGGAAAGCTGAGGTCAGCTCTATGGTCAGTGCTTTCCATGAAGTTTAACTCGGCTAATTTGCTCCTGGAAAGGATCAAAGTGAAGTCAGCTGTGAAGGTTTTACTCATCTTCTGTGTACAGGCAACACACTGAGGACTGGGCACATTAACAGTTACTACAAACACACAGAACAACAGAATTTTTATCATGATCCGGTTGAAAGCTCGACCCAMGTGTCGTGACAAATSCTAGCTGTAGTTTTAGTGCTCACCTAATAGGTTTAATCTGCCATTTTACCCAAAATAAGCTCTTTATGAAACACAGTGGTAGACACGTGTGAGCTCCAAACCCTCCATGACCTATCAGGTGTAAACGAGGACCCCCACTGTGTTTTTATTATGCCATTAATGCCCTGAGTACACCGTGGAAAGACCATCAGGCTGAGCTTTATTTACGTATCTCCTTCCACAAGTTCCTTCATTATCTTGGTTGGCTGTATTTTCACACAGATTTGGACAGCAGACTGCAGCCACTTTACATAAACACACCCACAAAGTTCTGACCAATCACACAACACCTGACAATTAGCCCTGCTAGGCCTGTCTGGGGGGAGAGATGCACAAGACCAGCAGTGTTGTACAAAGTACCTCAAAGTGATACTTGAGTAAAAGTACAAGTATCTTATCATAAAAATACTTTGGCAAAAGTTAAAGTCTTCTCTAAAAATATTACTTGAGTAAAAGTCTTAAAGTATCTGATATTTTTTGTACTTAATTATCAAAAGTAAATTTCTGACACAAAATCTACTTAAGTATTAAAAGTAAAAGTACTGAGTAGAAGTGAGCAGTTAGATTTTCCAAAATGACATTTATTGGGAGGTGACTACTCCAAAAAATATTTTTCTAACGGCGTGCAGCTGTGATGGGTTGTGTACAAGCTAATAGGGTGTCAGAATGGTATATATTTATACTTCTCATCCAACCACAATTAAATTCACTCTATCCAGGAGGCACAATTTATCAGGATAGTATTTTTCTAAGTAATAACAACTCGGAATAAAATAGGAGTAACGACTTTCTACTTTTTAAAAAATGTAGTGAGTAGAAAGTACAGATAATTGTGTAAAAATGTAATGAGTAAAAGTAAAAAGTACGCTGAAAAATAATTACTCAAGTAAAGTACAGATAACCAAAATTTCCACTTAAGTACAGTAACAAAGTATTTGTACTAAGTTAATTTACAACCCTGAAGACCAGGTCTCAGAGAAGCAAACTACGCAATTTTTCATCACGCAGACACGTCAGCGAGAAACAAGTCGTCTCATTCACTATAAATCAGGCTTTAGGAACTTGTGGCGCTCTACTTTGACAAGATTCCCAACTTTTCTAAATGTAAACAAAGCCGTGGGATCAATGCTGACATTTCAGAACTGAAACTGATTAGGATGTGCAGCAGCGAGATGTTGAGGTTGAACTCTGTGTGGTTTTGTTTGAAACCAGGGGGAGGAGAACACAGTGAAGAACAGCGAACAGATGCTGGCCGACCTGAGGAAGAGGAGCACCACCATCCCTCCTCTGAAACTGCGTCGCATCCCCCCCTCCAGACCCATCACAGTCGAGTCCCTGTGCGACTGGGAAACCAACAAGGTAGAAAAAGGCTTTAAAACACTTATTGACTGATGTGTTTTTCCTCTGTATTTTAAACTAAAATTATAAATTAATTATCTCTTGTTCCTGTTTAGGCTTCTGTGTCAAGAGGAGATCAATTCACCCTGAAATCAAACTCTGACAAAGAGAACTGGGACGTCGTCTCTAGTAATGGAGTAACTAAAACTATCCCAGGAGTTTGCTTCCTAATTCCACCTCCAGACACAGAAGCCATCGATAAAGTGGACCTGTGAGTAACAAAAACGTTATCATAAATCTAAAATATTTGTTGCAAAAAATGTAAAAAAACTTATTTGCTTTCATGTAGTTTGGGAAATGAACTGGCAGACATCAAGAAGAGAAGGTCGGCTCTGGCTGCATCTCTGAAGAATCATAAATCAACTATCAGACCTCAGCAGTCAGGTTGTTTCTCTGATTTCAAATCCGTCACTGGCTATAAAACATTAGCTGACATGACTTTCGGATGATTTTCAGTGCTAACTTCTATATTTTCCTCATGCAGTTCCAGTTTCGTCTTCGATGGACCCCAAAGCGGAGGCCCTGGCCCAGCAGCTGGACCAGCTGGACAACGACCTAGCCAAAGCCGAGGAGAGCATGCTCAGCCGCCTGCGGGCCCCGCTGAGCCGCTCCGACCCGGCTGCGGATCTGGCCAAGAGGCTGCAGGAGCAGGAGGTGAGAAGAAACCATATGAACAGCAACTGGTTCTGCTAGAACCCATCTTAGCAGACAGTTTTTAATCTTCTCTTTAAGTCCAAAACAAAACAATCCAACATAATGAAACGTACAAAATCCTTTGAAATTAATGTGAAAGCCTTTTTGTTGGGCATTTTCCTCCTGCGTGCATTATAACACAACATCAGGCCTCTTCGCATATCTGAGTTTTTTTTATTGGTTTTTCTTATAACAGCAAGCTGCAAAGTCCTTGAAGGCTCTGGAGCAGCAGAAGCAGGCAGCCCAGGCCAGCCTGTCCAAAACCCCGAGCGGTTCGTCTGCTGGACTGCCCCTCAAACTCAGCGCTACCAGCAACAAGTTCGACAACCTCGCTGGTCTCGCTGACCTCTACAAGAAGAAGTAAGTCTGTGTTTCATAAGATTTTTATTATAACAATTTCCTCTTCAGTCCCTTCATATTTCAGTCAGCATTGTTTAAATATTTAACAAACACTGCTGTTTCAAATTGAAGAGCCTGTACCTGTAGTTTTTCCTTAATTTGTGGGTGTTTTTGCTGCTTTTGCAACATTTTATTGAATGAAAAGTGTTTTTAAGGAAAGTTTGATTGGAATTATTTTGATACAATTAATCAAAATAATATTTTTTTAAGTTTGAATCTGTTATATGTGTACATCCAGGGATTACAAATTACAAATGTGACTGAGTTTTTGAACTTAATCTAAAGTTCGATTTTATTTAGAAACATAAATTTTGACTTATGATTTGTCCTAGACATAGATATAAAGAATATGAAGAACTGTTTAGAAACTTTTGTTTCAAAATAGCAATTTAAGCTTTTTTTTTAACTTTTCCCAAACATTTCATGTTAAAATGCATAAAAACTTGTTTTGTTTTGATATTTTATTAGGTAATCCTAATCAGCTTTTAATATATTAAATTGTTTTCCCTACAGGGCAAATGCATCTCTCAACCTGGAGAGTCAGATTGACAAGGTTGACGGTCTCATCTCGGGATTTGAGGGAGAGCTCGGTGACGACGGTCCAATCCCTGATTTACCGAATGCTCTTCAAGCCCGCTTAGAGGAGATTCAGGTAAACAAATGCACGTGAGAAACTGCTACGCAAACTCAACATTTCATCCATTATAATCTGAGTGTCTCCTTCGTCGTGCTCAGCTTCAGAAGAAGTCTGTGGCAGCGGCTCAGACCGACATGAAGAAGCTGAGTCAGGATCTGGAGAGGACGGACCAGCTGTGCCGCTCGCTGGAGCAGAGCTACCAGGAGTACTGTCCCGACATCCAGCGCCAGAAGAAGGACGTCAAAGAGCTGCAGAGCCGATATGCAAACGTTGAAAACCAGCTGAGGGAGAGGTGATACTCCAWCTTAAATGCACAAAACCAAGACAGAGCTGACGATTACTTTACTGCAACCAAAATTTGTGATATCCTCCTCAGAGAAAGCATGTTGAAAGAGGCGGCGAGCAAGAACCAGGAGTTCCAAAGCACGTGTAAAAATCTGAACTCGTTCCTGGACAACTTACCGACGTATCGGAGCAGCTACGATGATGATCTGACTGAAGTCGCTGCTAAGCTAAGCTCCCAAGAAGTGAGATGTTACAACTATACATTTACTTTAAGTCTAATGTGGAAAAATCAAATTTATTTTGTTTCTGCATTTGTTGATTTATTGTTTTTAACTAAAAATAAATAATATTCCATCATAATGGCATGATAAAGTGTTTAACGCTACCCTTTTCTCTGCAGAGAGTGGTGGATGACCTGAAGCGGAGGGAAGATGACGTAGACCGAGTGTCTGCCGTCTCCGAAGACCTGCAGAATCTGCTTAATGTAAGAGCTTTAAAAACTAAGGAAAATAAGACAATAGAAACAGCTTTTTAATGTTTATCTTTTCATTTGCACAGGACTACGATGCCTGCGTCAACAAATACAACAGTACACTTGAGGACGCCGGAGCGACTATTCCAAAGAAGCCTCGTGTGCTCACGTTCACCGATGCTGTTCAGAAAGAGGTAACATGGAAATATATTTTTAGCCCAATACATATTTCTACATCGGTTGAACAGATAAAGGTTTAACTGGAGGATTGTTTATTGCAGGAAAAGAACCTGACGAACCGCTACGCTGAAGCAAAAGCTGAAAATATGCAACGCCAAAAACAGCTGAGCTTGGCCAAGAATATAGCTTTGCAAGTAGGAAAACACAACACAAATTAAAAAGACCTTCTTTAGAATGTGCTTTATGCTATAATTGATATTAGACAGCAAATTGGAAATGTGAATAATTTGCTTGTTCTGTTGCAGAATGAAGAAAAGGTTCAGGTGGTGGCACAGCAACAAGTACAACTTGAAAACCAGCAAAAGACTGCGCTGGAGGTAAACAATCTGCAAAAAGAGCTGGAAGAGGAAAAGGAGAGGACAAACCACACCATAACAAACCTCAGATCCTTCAAAGAAAGGATGATTTCACTCAAGAGTCGCAGAGGAGTGGAGCGCGTCGAGGAGAAAGAGGTGCTCCAGTACTACCGAGACCCAAAACTGGAAAAAGATCTGGCTAGTCTAAGGGACAAACTGGATGAAGAGGTCCTAAAGAGGACCAGCACCCGGACAGAGGTTGAGGTGATAAACAAGAAAATCGTCAACCTGGAGGAAACCATCACAAACACGGCCCCAAAGTTGCTGACTAGAGAGGTGACAGAGTTTGAAAAAGATCCCCAGCTGGACATAGAGGCTGCTAGGATTAGAGAGGAGATAAAGAAGATCAGAGATGAGATTCGAGTGAGGGATGGGGAGCACGTTCAGATGAAGACAGAAGTCACGATTCTGCAGCAGATGAGGCCTCCCGTCAAAGAGAAGGTGGTTAAGAAAGAAGTCATTAAAGTGGAACAGGATCCAGTGATGGTGAAAGCAGTACGGACGTTCGCGACTGAAATTTCCGAAGAAGGCAACAAGTGTAAGTTCCTCAACGATGAAATCTTCCAGACAAGAAGCCAGATCAACGCACTTGAGAGGCTGATACCCAACATCCAGCCTAAGATCATCACTAAAGAGGTGAAAAAGATCGAACAAGACCCCGACCTTATCACAGAGTCCGGCAAGATCAGAACATTAGTGGAGGAGGAGAGGGTTGAAAACAACTCTTTGTCCAAAGAGCTGATGGAGCTGCAGAGCCGCTACAGACAAGTTCAAGACTTGAAGCCAAAAGTTGAGATCAAGGAGATTGTTAATGAGATCTACAGAGTTGACCCAAACACAGAGGTGGAGCTTGTGCGCCTTCGCAAAGAGATACATGAGTCCAACAAGCAGCGTGTTGATCTTGAGAGGGAGATCTCGCAGATCACTGCTGAGCTGAACATCCTTCGTGCTGAGAAGCCCAAAGTGGAAATGAAAGAAGTTCTCCAAGAGGTGGTGAAAGAGGAAAGAAGCCCTGAAAACGAGCGAGAGATCCGGAGGCTAAAGGAACAATTGAACTATTTACACAACCAGTATGACTCCCTCCAGGACAAAGTCATCCAGCTCCGAAGAGAGAGGGATGAACTGAAGACTGAAAAGTCAAAGATAGAGACCAAAATTCTCACCAAAGAAGTAATCAAGTATGAGCCCGATCCACTATTGGAGAAGGAAGCCGAGCGCTTGCGCAAGAACGTGCGAGAGGAGGCGCAGTTGCGGCGGAGCATCGAAGAGATGGTTTTCGACCTCCAAAACAAATTCATCATCCTAGAAAGGCAGAAACCAGAGGAGAAAGTGGTGGTGTCAGAGGTTGTGCGTTTACAGAAGGACCCGAGGCAAATGATGGAGCACGACAAGCTCAGCAAGAACCTAGATGAAGAAGTGATGAAGCGACGTCAAATGGAGCTGGAGCTGCAGCAATTAAGAACCAAGCTGGAAGAGAAACGGAGGATCTTAGAAGAGAGCAATGAGCACCAAAAGAGGATACAAGCAGAATTTGAACTCAAAGAGATCCGACTGCGCATCACACAGCTGGAAAACGCCCCRCCTCCTGTCGAGGAGTGTATCGTTGTCGAGGAAGTGCTAAAAGTTGAGCGAGATCCAAAACTGGACAGGATGACAAACAGTCTGAGAGCAGACTTGGACAAGGAAACCAGCGACATCCTGCGTATCCAGAGAGAGATCCGCAGCCTCACTCTAAAGATTGAGATCCTGATGAAAGAGAAGTCTGGGGAGAAAACAGTGTACAAGGAGGTGGTTCGCGTCGAGAAAGACCAGGCCGTTGAAGCCGAGAGAGATCGTCTGAGGGAGCAGGTGTCTCAGAATAAATTTGCTCGACAAGACCTGGAGGATGAAATCAGACGTCTCAACGACAGAATCAACTTCTTGATGAGCAACCAAAGCACCACTTCAAGAGACGAGAGAACCTTTGTCTCAAAAAGAGACGCCTTACTGAGGGAGAAGGAAGATCTGACCCGAGAACTCAAAACATTGGAGGTGAAGAAACACGACACCAGCCTATCTTTCCAGACACAGAGCCGATTAATAACCGAAAGAACGCACATGAGCAGGCAGAAGAGCCTCAAGATGGAGACGGATGTTCAGCGACTGGAGAGGCAGATCCTGGACGAGAAAGACCAGATCCATCAGCGAGACAGCACCATCCGTGAGCTTCTGCTGTACCTGCAGAACGAAGACCTAGCAGAGACGAGAACCAAAGAAACTAACGTCTCCACCAAAATCACCATTCTAGATCCAGAAACAGGAAAAGACATGTCTCCTTTTGATGCCTACATGAGGGGCCTTATTGACCGTCAACAGTACATTCATCTCCAGGAGCTAGAGTGTGACTGGGAAGAGATAACCTCCAAGGGACCTGATGGAGAGGTATCCGTCCTGCAGGACCTCAAGAGTGGACGGCAGTATTCTATCAAAGACGCTATAAAAGAAGGAAAGCTAACAGATTATGATCTAAAGCAGTACAAACAAGGCAAGATGCCCATCTCAGAGTTCGCCCTTCTCGTAGCAGGTGACAAAAAGAAGCAGTCCAAGCTCAACTCGATCCCCCCAACTTCAGAGAACAGCTATGCACGATTCTAGAAATGTTTACTATTTGAAGTTTTCTGGTCTGTGATGCAATGTGGTGAAAGTGTAAAAATAGATATGAAAACAGTCATAATAATTACAAAATACATCTTTGACTCATGAGGACACTTGTACTGCAAAGCCTTCTTTCAAGACAAAATAACTGCTGCTGAGGTGCATTTGTTTACCAGACATGTCTTATGTGGGCAGGTTTGTTTCTTTGTTTTTCTTTTCTTTTTGTGATTTACTAAAAACAGAGCATCAGTGCTGTTTTATCCTTACTTTTGTTGTGTTTTTTGGGCATAATGGGATATGGTGCAATGTTAATTTCTAGGAGTGATTTCATTCTGTATTACTCACTGTTGTTTGATAYCTTATGAAGAAAATTATCAATAAATTTAAATTATAATGACTGAAGAGTATTGGCTACCCTCACTTTTGATTTTACATCACACATTTTTMAAAAAAAAATGAATCAGATAAAACCTTATTAAATCTTAAGCCAGTGAAAAAACACCACCAGGTTGTCAAGTGTCAGAAAAAAAAAMCCACGCATGTTCCGAGACTGATATTATATGATGAGGAAGCACAACTCCACCCAGTTAAAGAAAATTTGTTTCCATTTTATAACTCTACAAGCATCTTTGTATCCATCCTGTAAGACACCATTCATAAACGAATGAACAGATATGAAGATGGGATGAACATTATCTTCATGATGTAATCTGTAGTTTATTTCGCCACTTTTAGTCCATGAAACAGATTAAAGCATGACAAAAACTTTTTTAAAAATAACAAATTAAACACACTTTTTCGGCAGACCTTTGACAAAAAGAATAAAAGGACCGAATGATGACACAAATATTTGGTCAATTTAGTTATATAAAAACAGAGGAGCATGCTCTAGAGAGGACCACTGCATCACAACTGAGCTCACTTTTTAACGTGCTTGATTACCCTGGACAAACAGAAACACAAACATTTTGACTGATCAAACAAACTCAGTTTTTAAAGCTTGTTAAAGGGTGTCCTGACGAAGCAGAGGTTAGTGCTGTTGAGAAATGTAACTCCCAACCTCCCACTGACCCTCTGCTAGCCCTCAGAAACCTCTCATCAAGCTAGCCAGGTCGCAGTTATCAGACTCCCAGTTCGAAACCCATACCCTTCAGGAAGAAAGTGGAAGGAGGACGGCTAGGGGATGCAGGTTTGCTCCCTGGTCTTTCTGTTTGGAGTTGGATATTTCCTCCACCTGTGTGTGGCTTTTCTCAGGAGAGACTGCTTTTATCTCACAAATCAAAAACATAAATGTTAGGTTAACTGGTACCTCTGAATCGCCTCTAGACGTGAGYGAGAATGTAAACTTTTAGTTTCAAAACAATCCCCACCCAAGGGCAGAGAAGTGGAGAGGTTTTGCAAGAAAAGTCACACGACAGCAGGTCAAAGCAATAATGCGATGGCCATGACAGATAAGAAACACYACGAGTAAACAAATGGATGATGACCTAAGTCAGGTTGCATCTGTAGGTTGTGCAGGTTGGCTCTCCCTCTCTCTGAAGAAGCTCCTTTGATCACTGATGGCTTTCTGCAGAAGCGCCATGTTTACGCCATCAACACAGTTGAGTACGCGGGCACGGATCACCACACCGAGCTCTGTGAGAGAAAAACAGGTGCGGGTGGAAAACGGGGTGACTTCCGGGTGTCTTTTCAATGAGAACGGCACGTAAATGTCAAGTGAATGAAAACGGGTTCATTCAGGAGTTAGAATAAAAGAAACATTGTCATTGTCAACTTTATTCTTATTCTGGAGTTAAAGGGATAAAATTGCCTGAGTGAAAAAAAAAAAACAGATAGATTCTGCATATAAATTAGATCAATTTTATACAGTAGAGGATTAGGACCAAAGAGCAAATAATATTATTTTTCCCTGAGTCAGAGTTCTGACTTTTTTTCTCAGAACTCTGAGATTAAAGTCAGAACTTAGGAAAAAAGTTATTATTTTTTGCTCTGTGGCTCTAAACATCTTCCGTAGTTTTATTCATGCTTTGCTTTAAATAAACATTTTACCTTCATTATTATCTGCTTCACCCAGAACCAAGTATTGGGCTCCCATTATTGGGTTAAACGGCTCAACGAACCCAGTCTGGACAAAGACTCGGTGCTCTTTCGAAGCATGTTGAGCTGACAGCGTGGCCCTGGACTCCTCTGGCTGATAGCAGACTAGTCTGAAAATTTTAACACATTATGTGACAACAGTTAATAAAATAAAATCAAAGTCACCCAGGTGCATATATTATAATTACCTAAAACTTTTTAAGCTATAATCTAAAATATGATTGTGTAAATGTCTATGTCTTGCTGTATTAAACACCATCACGTGTACCTGATTGTTTCCTGCAAGTTTCATTTTGGTTCATGAGAAATTTTGATAAAACAAAAGTCAGACACAAGAACACGAGCTGGCAAAGGCACCAAAGTTAAATCAATGAATGCAAAGGACAACAGAGACAAATGATTCGTTTTAACTTTAAATAAATGAAAGAAAGTGAGCTCATATTTGCCAATTGTATTTTTGACATCACATTTGGAATTCCCTGTGTCATGACTTATGATCTAAATATGCTTCAAAAATATTTTCAAGTCAGAAATGTGTGACTTCACTCCTCACCTGCCAAATGTCCTCACTGAGTCACCTTCTTTTACAGAGTTCACCTCCCAAGGAAACCGGAACTCTGCAGCTGGAGGAAGCATTGACATTATTAAAATACATTTATATCATTTATTTTTTAAAGCAAATGTTTTGAAACTGTTTTCACTTCTGGTAAAGAGAGAACACTTCCGGTATACAGGTCACATGACTTATGTCCCTCCCCTCTGCGGCTGCGCAGTAAAACAGACGCCGGGGACTGGAGACGTCAGGTTACAGGAGGTTATTTGGTTGTTCAGAATAAGCATTTAGTTAAAATTTTCACGGCGTAAGTTTGTTTCCCAGTCTGTTTAAAGAGCCATGAATCCTGATATTAGGAGAGAGCGTGAAAACGCTTCATTTGATGTCGAAAAACTAACATATATTTTGGACGGAGGCCCAGAGAAGACCAAACGAAGACGAGAAATTGGTGAGTTTTATATAATAATTTTAAACCAGATTTTATCGTGCCAATTGTGGATGTAAAGGTAGAAAACTCATCTGCTTTAAGAATAGAAATGAATGTTTTCATCAGAGGTTACCTACCAGGCGTGCTACCAGCGAAACTTCATTAAAGGGCTACCACGTTACAGTCCAGTGTCCGGAYTCTTATATTTTTATTTAATATTTAAGAAACAAATCTCTTACAGGACAAACTAAAAGTTTACAATCAGAGGATTTTGTATATTGTATGATTTTATATGTCTTGAGGATAAATTCGGCTGTAGTTTTAATACCAACCATTCGTAGCAGATGGACCAAACCACCACAGCATTTTCAATTAATGCGTATTTAAATAGTTATTGAAAGACTTCAGATGTAAAATCCAAAGATAAGTTGAAAACTAAGTGAAGAGGTACTGAAAAACTGATATGAAATAGTTTGAAGCCAATCATTTACAGGTTTGTACACAGGAAGTCAAACACAAATTGGAAACAAAATTCTATGCTGTGTCAAGATTAGTGTAAAATATTTTTATTTTACGTTATTGTAACTTAAGCGTATTGATTTCAAAATTCAAACAAACATAAGAAGTTATTCTGAACTAYAAAAATGGTGCAGTTTGAAAGAACTCACTCCAGTACTTTTTTCAAATATATTGATATTCACTTCTGAAGCATGAATTTATTTATTGTATGTATATAGTTTAAAAGATTCTGAGTTGTATTATGAATATTGGTTTTAAAAGAGCTTTAAAATGATCTGTTTGGTCTAGTAAAAATAGCTTCTTCACTGTTGAACAACTCATAAAATAAGTCTGCCTTGACAATGCTTGGACATGTCTGTCTTCTTTTTATTTAGAGGCACTTGTTTTCAGCGACCCAGACTTTAAAGAGGATGACCCAAACTTCCTGTCTCGTAGTGAGCGCTATGACCAGGCTATTCGAAAAAGTGCCCAGATGATCCTGAAGCTCAGAGAGTATGGCATTGCTGACCCGGAGGAGATCGTCTACTACAAGAGGTATGTTGTGCAAAAAGTCAGCTCACGATCTCAAACACAGAAACTGTTGGGTGACAGGCCACACATGGTTAAACCCACTGTGATAGTTTTTTTTTATTTTTTTATTTTTTCGACATGGGCCACAAAGTTAAAGTTGACAAAGAAGTGTGTAATCTGAAAAAATAAACATACACAAGGAGTTATAATGACCTCTGACAGGATCAAAGTGTACAGCGTTTATCATTGAGGACTGATACGTCACTGTACCCTGACTGAACTTTGGCAGTAATCAAATACTACAATCTGAACTGCTGTATGTGCATTTATTCTAATGCAAGAGGGCAACACAAGCATAAAGAGACATGAATTATCTCAACTCTTTCTTCTTAATCATTTGCTATAACTGTGTTTTATTTTGTGGAGCACATTTAGACCTACTATAAAGAGGATCAGCTCTGACAAATGCTGCATTTCATTGATTGAGAAACGTCCTGTACTTATTAAAAAACGTAAATAATTTGTCCTAGAAGAAAACACACAAGGCTATATATTACTCAAGGAACAGTTTGTGGGATTGTGTATTGCCTTGAAACAAACAGATTCAGTTCAAACTTCAAAGTTCAGGTGACAATAAAAGTAAGTCAGAGGCCCTGCAGATGTTACCAGCTGGTTCCTGCAGAGCTGTCGGGTAGAAATCACATTCAAGACATTTTACTGTTGTCAGCTATGTCTTTTTATATTGAACAGGTGATTAAGCTCTAAGATGCATCATTTCTTAATTTCACATTAACCCAAAAATGTGTTTGTATTTGTAAAACTGGTGTAAACTTTGACGCAGGCGCATCTGTTTTTAGTTGAGATGTCCTGATCAAGTGTTTTTGGTCCCGATACCAATCAATCAAACAAACTTCCAATTGTAATACCATGAAGGATTTATGGTTGTGTGAATTATTGACCAAACAGTATATTACATAACCTATACAGTAAGGGATCACCCAGCACTAAATTACAGAAATATTTGCTGTAAGAGGTACAGTACCTGGCTGAGCTTGTTATACTCAGCTAAGAGCATTTTAAATGTCATTTAATTGGTGGCATTTACGAGAAATACCTGAACCACACTCGAACTGCTTTTTTTGTTTTTAAAAATACTTCCATTCTGCAGCCATGTTGGTTTTCTTACATCACAACGTTTTACAGCAGCCACATTACAGCTCAGCTGATATAAAACCATAGAAGGTGAACAAAAGAGATCAGAAAGTGTGGTCAGCTGCTCTGATACCCTTCGGTGGTAAATTCCTTGATCAGGGCCCTGATCTGATACTTGAGATTGGCTCAGGACATCTCTAGTGTTCATTGCTGAAACCTGCTTGTACTTCTTGAACATATACCTCCTGAACAGTAAATGATTGAATGGGTGGTAATCATTGAAACATCTTTTTCACATTGGTATGACATTCATTACATCAACCATAACATCTCATTTTCTGTAACTTCTTCTTTAACACTGTAACTCATCAAAAGTTCAATTTTCCTGATGTCTGAGGAAATGCTAATCTGAATTTAACTTTCCTTCACCCAGTATGGTTAAAGGCAACCATCAAGAACCTTTAGGGCTGCACAATGTCATGTTCCTCCCCACCCTGCGCAACCTGTGTGACCCTCAGCAGGCCATGAAGTGGTTGCCTCTGGCAGAGTCCTTCCAGGCCTTGGGCACATATGCCCAGACTGAGCTGGGTCACGGTCAGTCCTGGATTCACAGTCAAATGTTTAATAATTGTTCCTTAAGGCACTCAAATGAAACTTTGTGTACTCTAAAATAGCACAGATTGGCAACAAAGGTGTTTGAGTGTACATTTGGTTCCAAACCAAACTCGTTGTATCAAGTCTGGAAAATGTCCCRGCATGAAGAGCAGCAGTGGAGGTTTCTTGTACATGTTTGACAGATCAGATCATGTTGAGAATAAAAYGTGTTCATTGAGTTTCCTGTGATTTGTCTTCTCATGTTGAATATTATTTTTAACACCAGACAATAAAGAAATATTTTGGACATTTTGGCACATTCTGTTGTAGATAGTTTTTTTTTTGCGCAACCTTATTCTGAGGACACAAGGTCTCATTTTAACTAAATTGAGCTAATGGAAAGACCAAAGTGAAGTACAGCTGTCTTTAAAAAGCTCTAATTTCCAAATGTTCTAAGCGGTCCTCGTGACACCATCTCTTAGACCTTTACACTGCAGCTAGTTTTAAATCATACTGAATTTTATGGTTATTTGCTAGCACAAATAGTGACAGCTGTAGCACACTCTGTCTCACCTGGGGTCTCTTCTAACAGGATTTATATATATTGTTCTTGCCTAAATGAAATTAAAAGTTTTCAGCGATGTCATCAGTTTAAATAATACAAACCACACGAAGCAGCAGACTCCACTCTGTAAAGGGGTTCAATTAAACCAGCTACAGTAAATTTTGTTTTATACAGATGCTCATTTTAAAAACTTCTCACTGCTTCCAGTTTTGAAATAGCTTGCTTATTTCAGTAGATACAGTGGGGAGAACAAGTATTTGATACACTGTTGATTTTTCAGGTTTTCCCACTTGCAAAGCTTGTAGAAGACTGTAATTTTTATCATAGGTACTCTTCAACTGTGAGTGATGGAATCTAAAACAAAAATCCAGAAAAATACAATGTATGATTTTTAAATAATTAATTTCCATTTTATTGTGTGAAATAAGTATTTGATCATCTATGAACCAGTAAGAATTTTGGCTCTCACAGAAATGTTGATGATAAACAGTGGTTGATTAAAGGTTTGAGAAATGCTTGTAAAAAAAATTACTTGTTTTCGTGCTTCCTGAAATTAAGAGCAAAAGAATCATAAGAGAAATACAGGAAATATTAAAAAACAACATGGAATGGATTATAA